GAAAGGGGGGGGGGGGGGGTGTGGGCGGCCAAATAAGAAAGCTAGAATATTGAAGCTTAGAATTTAAAAAATAAAAAAGAGAAGCATTTAAAACTTACTGATGCTTAACAAAGTTGACTCTAGCACCAGGAAGCTTGGAGAATCCAGACCAAATAGTCTCATTCGGAGTGCCTAGAGTTCTAAAAATCTGTCAAGGCATACCAAGAACAAGAATAAGAAGAAAAAGAAGCAGCTTGTCATTGCAATGCAAGAATTTCGAACACTAATAAAATATCAAAAATAGAAAGAACCCAATACGACACATTACCTTATCAAGTTGGTCAACTTCAGTTTTCCCATTAAAAAGAGGTTCCTTTGATAGAAGTTCAGCCATTATACAACCTAAGGACCACATATCAATTGCGGTAGAATACTGTCTTGCTCCCAACAGAAGTTCAGGTGCCCTGCCATGTAATGAGACCATAACACAGTTATACTTTGTCCCAAAGCATTCTTATATGTAAGTAGTGAATGGTTATGCATAGATGAATCTTATAAATAACTTAAATATCTCAACAAAAACTAGATAAAATTAAGAATGAAACTATCTCAGTCAACAAATGCAATTGCGATCATCTAACTCACAAATACTCATGCACAACTGCCCATCAAATTGGAAAGCACATGACTTACAAAATGAACAACATAGGAGGGGGAAAATGAATTTTGCAAAAAAATGACACAAGGTTCTTTATATCATATAGATTAGGACAAGTATAAGAGACTGAAGCACCCACAACAATTGTCTGCGACATCCATGGAAAAATTGAGGAAGTACAAATTCAAAGTTTAAATATGGAATGAAAAGAGTGAAAGAACTTTACGTTTTATAACCACAAAGAGATATTGCTGACAAAATCTATATGGCCTTCTTGCGTTAATATTTGTTTGAATGAAAAGATGGGAGACTTAAGAAAGAAGAAGTCACCTGTACCAAAGTGTAACAACTAAATGTGTATACGGCTTCAAAGGACTTCCATATTGACGAGCCAATCCAAAGTCACAGATCTTCATTTCACCCTGGTTGTTCAAAAGCAAATTAGATGTCTTCAAATCTCTATGAAGCACCCAATTACTATGGAGATACCTAACACCCTCCAATAGCTGAATCATTAGGCATTTTACTTCACTCTGACTAAACGGATGTTTCATGGTCTCCATAAGTCCTTTAAGATCATGCTCCATGTATTCCATTGCCATAAAAATGCTATCGAGGCTATTCCCCACTACAACTTCCTTCACGTCAATGATTGATGGGTGGTGGAATGAAAGAAGAATATTTATTTCTCTCAAAGCAGTCAGCGGAAACCCTTCCCGCTCCTTCTCCATTTTTACCTTCTTCAAGGCCACAATGTCCCCAGTCTTCTTGTCCCTGGCTCTATACACAACACCATAGGTGCCTTCGTCAATCTTGTTTAGTCTCTCAAATTCATCAACACTTCTACATCCCTGAAGCATGTTTACACTTCGTTGAATGGGTGAAGGAGGCTCCTGCGTGGCACAGACGTTATTATCATCAGAGTCAGTATCTGATGGACTAAAACTAGCATAACTAATATCATGCCTCTCATCAACCTCCATAAAGTCATCCCTTTCCACATCACCACCGGAATTCTCATCCCCACTCAAAAATCTACAGTGGGCACCTTGTTCATTAGATTCAGATGACCTCACTCTCGTTTCGTTTGACTTGAAACCATTGCTCTTGAGGTCCCCATCTTCAGAAAATGAGTCACTAGGGGTTTTGAGATGTAACTTAGTTTCCCGAATTGCAGTAATTGGTATCTTCTTTTGTCTTAGTGTTTCTTTATCATCTAAAACCTCACCTTCATCAGATGGAGAGGTATTTCCACCTGCCCACCGTGAAAATGAGATATTCCTTGTAGGGCCATTATCTTCATTATCTAACAATTCTACTTCTACATTCTGGTGTAGACGCTTTCCAAAAACAGGAGATGCTAATGATTCGGAGACTAAAGGAGAATGAAACTCGGAAGATGGCAAATTCTCGTTATCACTATTCCTAACTGAAGATGTATTAACATTGCTGTCTGAGATAATATTAGGTGACTGACGACTCAACTTTTGAGGCCGTGGAAGACCCATCACTGTTGTGATAATCTTATTTCGGGATGGAATACTCAACTTGCTGTTGTCCCTGTCCCAAACTATAGGCGAAATTTTTCTCTTCCTCTCCATAGGAGATAGATTCCCATTTTCTCCCACCTTTGAGTCCTTGCTACCTTTGACCCCCAAGCCAGATTCAATAGCATCATCAGATCCACTCTCACTGGATAACTCACCTGTCTCCCTGTCAATGGTACGAGAAACCCTATTTTGCTTCGGGCCATGATCACTGCCACTAATACCACCATCACTGTTACCCGAATAGCTCTTGCTAGAAAAAGAATGATAATGACCATTAACAATCGCGTTCTCCTTCATATCCTGGTGCCTAACCCTGACCTTGTCTCTGACATCCCGCGCTAGACTCCGACGAACACCACGATCATCATTGATGATCTTAACTCTTTCAAACTCTTGCCTGGCGCTACCAAACGACCTCCTCGACACATGAAAATTGGTCTCCCGGTCCCTGAACTCGTTTTCACGGTAACCCCCATGACGCCCAGCCGCCATAATTACACAGCAACAACAAGCTCGAGACGGAACCGAAAACACACTCGACAACTGCCTTCAAGCTTCAGAAGTCAAATTCCAGCTCAAGATTTGACTGACCCTTTGAACAAAATTACAAAATCGAAACACAGAAGGCGCAAGTACAAATGTAAAGCGGATTCTGCAAATATCTTATTCCATATAAAAATTCAACCTAGAATTCCCGTCGTCACGGAAAATACGTCAACAGACAACTGAATAGAAACAAAACCCTAACAGAAACCGAGAATAAGATAAAAACTGGGTAAATTCCCAACCTCTAACCTGGAGAAAGGGTTTTCAGATAGGTGGGTTGAGGATGATAAAAGACGGCGAAACGCTGCTTCAGGAGAGGAAAGAAATCCCTCGCGAAATCGAAGACAACGTGATCGCTGCGCGAAAAGAGGAGGAAAATTAGATTGGCGCGTCAATTTTATAAGTGATACTTTCCTTTTTTTTTCCTAGATTTAGGATATTTAAATATTAAAATTTAATATTATACTCTTTGTATTAAAGTTTTAATTAGTGATATTAATTTTTTATTGCTCAATAGTATTAGTTTATATTTTTTTATTGAGTAATTTATGTCTAAAAATTAACATGATTGGAACATATATGCCTTCAAATAACACATCTTGTGGGCTAAAGTAATTTTTCAACGATTTAAATATAAAAAATTAAATAAATAAGTAACTTGTGGTGATTAATGGTGCGGTGATTATAGTTAATTGTGATCTGAACGGAAAATATTTTTTTAATTTCTCTTGATGGTGTAAATAATTAAAAGATATTGTTTTGATTTATTTAGGAGGTTTAAGAATTTTTAGTTTAAATAGGATTTAACCGTTTATATTGAAAGTTGTGTGAAAAAATAACCATTTAATAATAAATAAATACAATATTTTCAAAATAGGTTAAAACCATTCATTTTTACATGCAATCACACATTGACATTATTAAATGCAAATTTAATCTAACAGAACTTCCCTAAGAAAACTGTAATCGTAGTTTATTAGCCATGGACAAGACCATATCGATAAAAAAAATCCCAACTATTTGAAACGATGGACAAGACCATCGAGATCATCAACTTAGCTCTCAATAGTAATCCACTTGGTCTGATTAATTCTTATCTCTTGATACAAGAGAGAACTTAGGACTTTACAGATGGAGAGAGATTCGAACCTCTGGTATTCCTATCAATACATCGGTTTTCATCGGTTTTCAAGACTGACTTCTTGAACCGATCAAACATCCATCTTCTCCAGTCGAAAAATAATGGCTTAGTCAGGAATAATACTACAAAGCAGCAAAAAGACAGTAGAACACGAGAAGCAACTAAGAACCAGTACAGAAGATTTCATTTCAAAATTTCAATATGGATAACACTTCTGAGATAAACGCATTTTACAGATATTCAAAGACAAAAAAAAGTGGCAAAGGGAAAGGAGGATTTGAATTTGAAGGAGCAGACCTGGTGAAACTTAGAGGCAGCTGTCTGACAGGGGAGACCATTGAATGATGCTACCAGCAGCACAGAGAAGGCAGGTGGAAGGAGAAAGAAGAAGGCAAGTTGAAGGAGAAAGAAGAAGGCAAGTGACCAGTCCTCCTAATATAATCAGCCTTTTCAGACGTCCTTACAGATTTCTTATTCAGTTTTGCTTCTGCATTTGCACGTTTCTCTTCAGCTATTCTTCTGGTGGCTGCTAGTTTATCTGCCAGCTTCTCTTGTGCACCAGCTTTCAATTTCTCTGCCTTTTTCTGTTCACATAGCCAGAAAACATCTACAACTTTTCATAGGGTTCAATGTTGAAAGATGTTATAGATTTCATGCTCACTTCAAATTCAAGAAAGTAACCACTTTTCTAGTTGCTAAGGAACAGTCTGAATGGAGCAGAGCAACGCTGATTGCTCTTTCTGGAAAGAATATGCTACGACTACTAGGGTTCAGTAGGGTTCAATTCAAAACGTTGTCATGACATTGTAAGATCTCACAATGGTTGGAAAACAAAGTATATCTTACAAGAGTGTGAATATCTCTATCTAGCAAACGCGTTTTAAAAATCTTGAGGAAAAGAGGACAATATCTGCTAACAGTGAGTTTGGGCAGTTAGAAATAGCATTAGAGCCGGACACCGGGCGGTGTGTCAACGAGAATGCTGAGCTCCAAGAGAGAAGATTGTGAAATCTCAATCAAACAGTAATGTGGAAACCTCTCACTTGGAATAACCGGCTCAAATCTTAATCCAATTCTTTCCATTTTCTCTCTTTGACACATCAAAAGAAAACGTGTCAGGCAAGAGAACTTATGACATATACATTCAAGGAGATTTAGTCCAACTACAAAAACTATGACATGAAAAGACAGCTGATTTGGATCGAGCTCATTCTAAGTTTGGAAGAAAGTAAAAGTCTGGCTAAAGACAGTACCTCCATTTTTCTCATTTTTGACTCAGCTTTCCTCTTCTCGCTGGTTTCCCATGCTTGTATCCTCACTTCTTCACGTTTAAACCTGCAAATGCAAAACAATCAGCATATCATGAACATTCAAGTTAAATCTAGCATTAAAAGTTCTCCACATGCAGCGTAAGAATGATTGGGGGGAGAAGACATTCAATCATTTCAGGTTTACATTTTTATTGTCTGAAAGAGTTATAAATCAAAATGGATTGCTGACTAAATATCCTGAACCTTAAAAATAGACTCAAGTTATAAATCAGGCTAAACATGAAGGGCAAAGGCAAAACTAGAGGAGAAATGAAAAGGGCTCAAAGGGTCACCTTGCCATATGCTTGGCTCGTTCTGCTTCATCCCAGGCCATTGCTCTAGTTTCCATAGAGTACATCTGCACAGCCTGATCAGAGCTCTGGTTTCCAGCCACCACGGCAGTGGAGGATGCACGGCCTATTTGACCATCTTCAATAGCTTGCATCTCACGGTGGGGCCTTGCTGGAGTGGAAGATCCAGAAGTCATAGGGCTCTGAAGCACAGGGGTGGTGGCTCTAACCGGGGTAGCCGTCCTTGAAGGCTCCTGACTTGCTATGGGAGTCATCTCTGTTCCCATGTCCCTAACACACACAGACCTAACCACCGTCTTGCAGTTCTCCAATGGCTTATTGATTCTCCAAACGGGTTCGTCGCATTCCATCTTCTTTGTTTCTGCTTCACTTTGACTACTCATAGCAGAAGCAAAGCCTTGATTTTCTTCTTGCCCTTCGCTCCTTTTGTCTCCACCGCTCAAGTAGTCATGATCCTGTTGTGGCAAAGCAGCTATAAGCCGCAAGTCATCAGCATTCGAGTTTCTATACTTGATTTTAGACTCCCCCTTTTCTCCTCCTTTCGGCAACCCAAAAATCCATTTCTGTGCATCGTCCCACTTCGATGGAGTTGATTTGGCATTGGCTACCCGGCGTTGAAAACTGCTATTAACTCCGTTTCCTCTTTGAAACTCAAAACCCATAGCCATTTCATGTTTTGATCCGTTGTTGTCATACCCATTCTCCACTCCCCCCCTCATTATTGTTTAAAAAAAAAGCTCTCTCAGTCGCTCACTCTCTCACAGACATAATATCAAATAGGTGGCGTGCATGCTTCAAGGATCACTCAAAAACACCGAACCCCAACTTCAAATGCAGCAAAAACAGATCCATATCCCATAAACATCCGCAGAAACAACTCAATGATAAGAAGTTAAAAGTTGGGTTCGCATTCAGAAGACGAATGAGGAAACGAAAGCAATAAAACCCGACAAGAAATAGAACCTCGCCATGTCTGAATGCTGAAACTTACGTGACTCAGCTCAAGAGTAAAGAAGAGTGGTGTTTTCATAGCAGAGAGACTCAGAATTGCAGGGAAATTAATGGAAGAGAGTACGAATGAAATGATTTGGAGAAGCAGAAGCTGCTGCCGCTGCTGCAAGGCTATGATCAGATTAACTTCACAACATGGAAGGGAGAATCCAAAGGGGGCTGGTGGGTTTGGTATGAAAGAGCTAAATTCCATGGCAACTGGTAAATTTAAAGCATTCAAAAGCTGAGAGTTGCAGCAGATCTAGAGTGGAGAGAATTAAAAAAGAAAAGAGAGATTGGTTGGGAGTAGAGACAAACCAGCATATACGTGGCAACTTGAAAAGTAATTCCAAAATAATTAATCCCACCTTAATCCCCAAACCAAAATGACTATTTTAGCCCTTGAATTTATTTTTAGATTTATTATATTTCATTCATGAAAGTTTTTAAAACTTCCTATTTCGTTGATTAATTTTTAAAAAAATAATTATTATTAGGTCCTACCTTTAACAAATTAATGACATATATTTAAATTCACAAATTGATATTAAGAGTAGAGATTGAAGTTCGACATTTCAAAATTTTAGAGCCCAAAATGAAATAAGTTTAAAATCTTATAAAATATGTGGGTTTTTTGAGATTTGGTTAGGAATGAAAAATATTAGTACACCAAGTTTCATAAAATAAAATAGCTTCAATGATAATAATAATTTGAAGGCTATTAAAAGAAATAATAAATTAATAAAAGAAAATGGATTTGCGTGGGAATTGATGGGCTTTTTCACTGAGCAATTCACATGGGGGAGCATAGCAAGGCAGTCGTCAGAATCTATCCCGCTCCCATGAAAGGATTCTTGAAAGCCATAAAAAAAAAAAAAAAAAAAAAAAAAAAAAAAAAAAAAAAAAAAAAAANAACTAAGTTTATAAAAAGAAAAGCAAGCGTCGGATTTCAATAAATTATTAAAACAAGTACATTTCACATTATCCTTAAAATATTTTAAAATCATCGTCAAAACCCCAATATAACTTCTTTTAAAAATATATTACCGTTGGACAGAAATCAAATTGGTTAAAAATATATTACCGTTGGACGTGATTTAGAAAGTAACTTTTTTAAAATTATTAAAACTGATAAATTAGTTAAAATTCCATTTCAATCACTTTCAAGGCCTTCAGAATCAAAATTCCAATTTCTAGAATAATGTTCCCATTTTCCAAAAATGGCATAAAGCTAACTGTAAAAATGGCCCATTAGATAAGTAGGGTCATCGAATGATCCAAGGGATATGGGCCCAATAAAGGTGGGTTGAGCCCAAAGGATATGGTTTGTTGTATTGGACCCGTTTGATCCAATTTCTTGAGTTTAGTTATAAATTAGACGGGCAGATTAACCCATTAGAGCCAATCAACTACAAAAAAAAATCTTTTTTATATATATATTTGAATGCATGGTCAAATCTTAAAAATAAAAAAAAATAAAAAGACAACTTTTTACAAATTTAGCTTAATTTTGAAATATTTGTAAAAAGTAGACAATAAATACAAAAAAAAAAAAAAAAAAAAAAAAAAAAAAAAAAAACTAGTATCTAAANACTTAATTTTTAAATACTAAGACTAAAAAACAACTGGTTA